CCCCCCCCGCCCCAGGGACCCCCCCTGCCCCGATAGCCCCCCGCGTGCCGGGGCCTTGTCCCCACTCTGCTGAGCCCCCCTGCCCTGCACATGGTTCAGTGCTTCGGCTGCAAGCCCCGTCCCCTGCCTGCAGCCCCCTGCCTGCGCCTGGGCTGCCTGCGGGACCCGCTCCCTGCAGCGAGATGGGGATAGGGACGGGATGGGGACAGGGACAGGACAGGGAGGGCATGCTGCTGGCCAAGCACCCCCGGGGCCGGGGCAGCATGGGGGGCAGAGAGGCACCGTGGGCTACAGGGCTGGTCCCCCTCCGGGGCAGCGCGGGGCTGAGGTGCCGGTACTGGATGCGGTGTTGCCCCAGTCAGCCACGATGATATTGCCGTTGGCGTCGACGGCCACCCCTGTGGGGGCGTTGAACTGCCCGTTCCCCTCCCCGTGAGACCCGAACTTGAAGAGGAACTCGCCGTCCGCGTTGTACACCTGGGGACAGCGGGTCACTGCGGGCTGTCCCGGCACACAGCACTGGCGCCAGCGGGGACAGCCCCAGGGAGCGTGGGGACGGCACGGAGCCAGGGACACCGGCGGCCACCCGCTGCTTGCCACGGTGGCACTCACCTTCACCGAGTGGTTGTGGAAGTCAGTCACCACGATCTCGTTCTTGTTGTTGACCGCCACAAAGTGGGGCCCTGGGGAGGGGAGGAAGGTCAGCCCCGGGACGGGGATGGGGGACTCAGCCCCGGACGGGGATGGGGGGCCCAGCTTGGCACAGCGCCAGTGCCGCAGGGACTGGGGGACACCCCTCGGTCCCGCGCCAGGGAGGGGGCGGCCCGGCCCTGGTGCCCGGTTAGTGTGGTTAGTGCCGCACGAGCAGCCAGTGAGGCCAGCAATGAGGGGGTTAGCGCAGGCGGTGCCCGGCCCCCCGCGGCTAGAGGGGGGGTCCCGTGGCAGGACCAGCGCTGAGGACAGACTGAGACCCCAGAGCCCCGACCCACAGGGACAGAGCCCACAGCCAGAACCAGAACCTAGAACCCAAGCCCAGAACCACAACCAAGAGTGCAGAGCCAGAACCCAGAACCAGAGTCCAGAACCAAAACCTGAGCCCAGAACCCAGGGCCAAAAATCTAGAACCAAAACCTAGAACCAGAACCCCAGCCTAGAAGTGAGAACTAGAACCAGAACCAAAACCCCAGCCCAGAACTAGAACCAGAGCCCAGAGCCCCAGCCCAGACCCCGACCCCAGCCCAGCCCCAGCCCCAGGTGTCCCAGTGCCGGCCGGGTGCCAGCCGCCATCGGCAAGGCGTGCGGTACTCACCATCCCAGCCCGGCCCCGGCGCAGCGGGAAGCCAAAGGCATGCAGTAAGGAAGAGGGGACTTGCCAGTCGGTGTATTACCATCGAGTGTACCTGCAAACTGCCGCTCGGCTGTGCCGCGGCTCCCAAACTTGGTGACGAGCTTGCCATTGGACTGGAAGATGAAGACGCAGCAGGCCTTGTTGTCCACCACGATGATATGGCCGTTGCGGTCCACAGCAACGCCCTTGGGGCCCATCAGCCGCCCAGCCCCAATCTTGGTCTGCAGCCGGGGAGGGGTGTCAGGGCCGGGTGCAGAGCCGCGGCCCCCCGCCCGGCCGCTGCCCCCTCACCTTGAACTTGCCCTCGGGGGAGAAGATGCTGACCCAGCGGTTGTCGTAGTCCGCGATGATGATGTCCCCATTCATATCCACGGTGACACCAGTTGGGCGCTGGAGCTGGCCAGGGGAGCGGCCCCGCACCCCGAACCGCAGACGGAACTGCCCCTCGTTGGAAAACACCTG